TGGTTGCAGCCATTATTGTTGTTTGGCGGTCCAGGCTGGATTTGAACCCACCACCTTAGGTGTATGTGGCTGGCGCCTTAGCCGGTTGAGCTACAGGCTCCGAGCCCACAAATAATGTCTTGTATGTAGATAATGTGAGCCAGGTTGCTCACTGCTGGAGAGAGAAGTTACAAATAAAACAGGAGTCAGGAAAAGTTAGCATGAATCCTATGAGGCTGGATTAAAGTTAGAGGCATCAGTGTGAATTCATAGCTTTTGTTTAATATATATGCAAATACATACAGAGATGTGTGTATATATTTCCTTGCTTTATTCACTTAGTGGGACAGAAACAGTAACACTATTATCAATCAGCATACCTGTTACCCAGATCTTGAAGGGCATGTGGTCTCTGTCATGTTCTTCCCATTAACACATGACCTCAATCTAATCATGGGAAAACATGAGGCAAACCCATCCTGGAACATAAAAAGAGTACTAATGGAAAAATTGGGGCAGGGGAGTCTATAGTTTAGTTAATATTATTATACCAATATTGACCCGTTAGCTTTGGTAATTATTCCATGACAGGGTTTCTGAACTTTGGCTGGTGACAATTTGGGTTGGATAGTTCCTTTTGTGGGGCCATACATTGTAAGATGTTTAGCAGCATCCGTGGCTTCTAATAGAAAATGCTGGGAACAGGAGCATTTCCATCCCCCCCACCTTTTTTTTTTTTTAGACAGAGTCTCACTATATTGCCCTTGGTAGAGTGCCATGGCGTCACAGATCACAGCAACCTGAAACTCTTGGGCTTAAGCGATTCTCTTGCCTCAGCCTCAGTCCCTCTAGTCGTGGGACTAGAGGCACCCACGAAGGCACCATGCTAGTTTTTCAGTTTTTACTAGAGACCCAGTCTGGCTCTTGCTTAGGCTGGTCTGAAAATCCTGAATTTAGGCAATCCACCTGCCTCGGCCTCCCAGAGTGCTTTGATCACAGTTGTGAGCCACCATGCCTTGCCTGGCCTCTTCTATTATTAAGCAAGATGCTGATATAACAGAAGGCTGAAAACCCTACTGCTTTTGCAACTCTGCCCTAAGTCTGGGCCAATTAAAACAATAGTGACAACTACAACAACAAAAAAATAGCCAGGCATTGTGGCAGGTGCCTATAGTCCCAGCTACTTGGGAGACTGAGGAAAGAGAATTGCTTACACCCAAGAGTTGGAGGTTGCTGTGAACTGTGATGCCATGGC